AAAAAAAAAAAAAAAAAAAAAAAAAAAAAATAACCGTACGGGACTCGCCGATTCACTGTACGGACTCGCCGATTCTGTACAGTGAATCGGCGAGTCACTGTACACGATTCCCATTTTTTTCTCCGATTCGATCCGTCCATGGCGATTCCCGAGTCGGCGTTTTTTTAAACACTGCTTTAAACATTTCGGTTTTTAAAAAATCGAAAATGCAGATCCTTCTTTTTTAAAAAAATTGTTATGGGGTTGAAAAAACATATATAGATGTAATAACGAAAACTTGGAGGTATTCCTGTAATAACCGATGTATACATTATTTTTCTTAAAATGTATTTTCATATATTTCCAATTTTTGAACCCATACCCAAACCCAAGTTGGGTTTAGACGTCGGGTCCCAGGCCAAGTCCGGGTCCATTGCGACCCTTATTTTTAAACCATCATAAAAGTTTTAGATATCTTAATTTTTTTCATGAGATTTGAGCTGCAATTTTGCTTTTTGAAATAAAACCTGGCTTTTTTATTTTATTTTATTTTAATAATTTGTAATAATGCCAAGCCAATTTAAAACATACATTCATGCTTATGCATATTTATATGACTTCTAGCCCGGACTTCTACAACGGTATAAAGCATCCATCAAAAACATAGACACAAAATAGGTGTTCCATAAAAAACAAATCGTTACTGTGAACAATTGTTTCATGCGGCTAGACCCCACAACTATATAATGAGCACGTATCTAGTCCAGCTACGATGAGCTGGCCTGCTGACAAGTTGGGTCGTCCTTTTTCCAATAATCAATTTCTTAATTTATGTAAAGGGATATTACAAAAAAATATGACCCGCTATACAGTACGGCAAAGGTGGCTATCCTTAGGCAACAACAATTTAAAAAGGCACACAGTAAACATCATGTTTCTTAAAAAACATTCAAGCCGTTGATTTTCCCCAGCCTCGAACACAGCCTGCCACCAAACACCCGCGTTTTGTACCCTATGATTCGGTGGGCCCGCACTACGTGGATTCATGTGGTTCATATCTGATGAGCCATGCACGTTTGTGCTCTTCTAAACAATATGAACCGTCCACTGCAAATTCTAGCGCTCGGTGGTTCCTCTAACCGTTGGGAAATGATCTCGAGGGTCACAAAAGCGCTGGCAGCCTTTTCAAATAGGGCCTCAGCCACAAACTGTCGCCAGAGAGCCGGGCCAGGCGAACGACAGCCACGCTTAGACTTGGTGTTGTGGGACCCTTATTGTCCCTTCGAGATACAGTACAAATGATTTTTATTTGGCAGTTGCAGGACTATATTAGTGTAATGTCTAGACGATGATACGTTTGGCTCACACGGTGCCGTTGATCAAGGAAAACTTTCACAACCGTTGGATGACTTGGATCTAATTATTTGAGGCATGAACATGGATTTGACTGAAGTGAGAATTCTCAGCAGTAACTTGAGATTCAAAGTTGCATGATATTAGACTTAATTATTTTAGGGAAAATGACCTCTACCTCCTTCCCAAAACTTTCATCCCTATTAATCTTTGAGTTCAACAAATTCTTTTGTATCCCTCAAGTTCAAAATTTTGGGACCGTTAGCCCCTTAATTGTGTGTTTTCTTTTTTTACATATTTGATATTTTGTCTTACAAAATTATACCTTCCCTTTTTCTTCTGTTGACTAAAACCAAATTTACTTCTGTGGAGCCCACTCTATAAATTTAGACATGAAAAGAAAGTGAATTTTTTAAATATTATGACCTTTTTTACAATTGCGTCAATATCTTTTGAACTTAAAAAATGATTAATCAAGATCTTTGTTACTATTGTTAATGGATTATTATTATTTATTTATTATTATTATTTTTATCAAAATACTTATAAGAGATGAATTATTTACAATTAATATAGTATACTTGTTATTATCATTATTAATTAATTATAATCATAATTATTATCGTCAATAAAATTTGTATATCAAGTCACTAAAAATATATATGGATGACTAATGTATGGGTTTGCCATTTTGTAAAACATTGAAATCAAAATTGTAAAAAAAACAATGAAAAACATAATTAGGGAGCTAATGGTCCCAAAGGTTTAAATTTGAGGGGTACAAGGGATTTTGGTAAACCCAAAGAGCTAATAGGGATATAAATTTAAGGGAGGGGTAAATGTCGTTTTTCCATTATTTTAAGACATTTTCTATGGGGTGTGGTTTCTATAAGGTTGCAACCTTAAACAATCCAATTAAGATGCACCTCCAAAATTTATCATAACATGTAATTTTGGTGTAAAAAATTGTTAAGATTATCTGAAAATTTATTTTTCATATGTAATTATAGAATTTTAAACTTCAAAAATGGTTAAAATCAAGTAAATCTATAAACATATGAAAATCTTGAAAAATAGACAGTCTAGATAATATATTACAAGATGTATTATTTCTGAGACTCAATTTTTTAAAATTTTTTTTAATTTTTTTTCATTTTTTTCATATTTATACATCTCGATGTCAAGATGATCAATTATAGGGTTTTTCAAAATTAAAACAACTTTTTCCGATGGATTTTTGAGGTGTATCGTTAATTATACATTTTAAGATTGCAACATTATATAAACTTTTTTCTTTTATATTTGTTTACTTACTTATGGAAAATTGTTTCATGCGGGCTGGACCGCATTTCTACATTATGCAGTCCAGAGGTACAAAGCATCAATCTTAAAGATGAATGCAAATAGGTGGTCCATCTAAAATCAAATGTAACTAACGGTCCCAATCTTTCTTAATATAATTATTATCTTTAGTTTTTCATTTTTTTTTTTATATTCATGATCTTCATGTTAAAGATTATATATTTTTGAAAAATTAGGATCAAATTATATTTTAAAAAATATATTTATTGCCAAGCCTGCATTTTACAATATGCGGGCTGGACATGATTTCTATGCTGCTAGCCCGAGTCGTGGGAGGCAAGGCACACAGGGGATAGG